CCTCCTCCTCCTCCTGGTGCTGTTTTGTCAGCCTCTGTGGCAAAACGGCAGGGACTCCTGTGTTGCCCCGCGTGCCACTCCTGAACAGTAATGCTTTCCCCATCCAACGGGGGAAGCGGCACTGAAGAGGTTCTGAACTGTGCTGGTTCCAATGGAGCCAGCACAACACAAGAGCCTTCCCATGTAAGGAGGGAAGTGTCCTACCGCACTTCCACTCCAGTTGATGGCAGGGGCTTCAACAGGAAGTCCAACAATGTTGTGGGATGAACAGTGTGGTCATCCATCACAGGACTGTTCCTTTAGCATTCTAGGACAATAAAATGTTAAATATGATGAAGTCATTAAAGGCAGATACACACACTTCTGTCTTCCCACTTTTTAGCTGTTTTAAAATACCCCCTATTTCTCTCTTCTTCCAATTTTCTCCCTTTGTCCTCGGCTTACCTAAACTGCTGCAAACTAAGGGACCTTCCACACAGTCAATATCCCACAATATCTGCTTTGAACTAGATTTTTTGAGTCCACACTGCAATATAATCAAGTTCAATGTGGATTTTACAGTATATACTTGTGTAGAAGGGGCTCCAGTCAAAAGAGCAACTTGATTTATTTGGAGAGATATCCTATGAGCTCAGAAAAAAACAAAGTGCAGCAGCCTCTCCTAGCTTTTGTGCTTTTCCATATTTTTGGCATCTTGAATCCACATCTTGGCCACACTTCTTCTAGTTTTCATTTGTGAACTGCTGGAATGCATGCAAGGATAATTCTCTAAAGGCATATTTTACTTCAGAGGTGAATGGAGGTCAATCTGGTCAATCAATACTAGATTGCAAGGCAAGAATTTCTGACTCCTAAGTATTTGATAACATCAGTAACCATGCCTCACTAATACAGAACTGATCTGTCTAACACGTTACTGTTGAGCAGTCAGACTGACAATAGATAACAATAGGCACAGGGGGACTAATTCTGTAATAGCTTTTTATCTGGAAATAGTGAATGCTGGGAGTTGTACACAAAACCTTATGCTCTAAAACTGAGCTATAACCCTTTCCAAAAATAATAAGAGAAGTAGGGATGAATAAAAGAATACTGAGTGACTATGCATGCAAACAAGTTTATGCATGATTGTATGAGAGAGGAAAAAGAAATCATTTTGGATGACAGCAGAATTCCCAGGCAACATCTAAAGTTATCATCCAAAAGCAACTTTTCAAAATTCTTTTAATTGGTTATTTTCTGTGTCCCAACATGGTAATCATATGATGCAAACCAGCATTGACGTCCTTCTAGTTAAGGACAGATTTTGACAGATGTTTTAATTTTAAAAAACCAGTTTATTTAAATGCTGGAGGTTGTAAGAAAGATTAATAGTGTTGTTTTGTTAAGTGGGGCCTTTTTTAGACCCCACTGCAGAAGGCCAACAAAGATTCGTTTCCTTTTTTTAAGGGTTATGATAGCAAACCAATATAAACATGTTCAGGAAGCTGTTTTCTCTATTTTGGAAGAAACAAACGAAAAAAGCTCCTAGTGAATGTCTTGAGCTCTGGATTACACTTGACAGGTTTGGCGGCTGTAGTTATAGACTTCTCCCTCACAGATGGGAAGCTTGATGGAGCCCCAAACGATCTTTTGTTGTGGCAAAACATTATCGGGGGAGATTTGCTTTCCCCTTTTCACTTATGGCTTTGGGAAGCCTGCCCTGATTCTGTGCATCTTGGCTTAGAAACACATCTAGCTGTCTTCACCAGTGCTAAAAAGAACTCTTCTGGATCAGATGAACATTTGTTCTAAATTATCTTTATCATAGTGCAGCCAGGTATTTTGGGGAAACCCAAACAGTTGTAAGATACTGTTAATCTTTTCTTCTGGTTTACTGAATTCATACATTTGGCATCATGTTATTTCTTTCTCCAAAATATAGTGGCTTCTCTCCTAACTAGGTTATACAAATACATACCTTTCTGGAACACAACATCCAGAATCTCATAGCCATGGGTTGTCTATCAAGCCTTAATATGAAGGCATTGCCTGACCAATAAGAATTCTCCCGTCGGCCCACCACAATTTTTTTTCCTGCAGCCCCTAATATACTACTACTAATACTACTACTACTACTACTACTAATAATAATAATAATAATAATAATAGTAATAGTAACAACAACAACAATATTTTATTTATAACCCATCCTATATCTCCCCGAGGGGACTCAGGGTGGTTTCCAGAAAAATAACACAGTAGCAAATATTCATTGCCAAAACAACAAATAACAAATCAAACCAGTACGTAAAACAATCTCAATAAAATTATAAAAATAACAGCTTAAATAAACAAATGTAATACATAATAAACATTTACAACATAAGTTCTTTAAAAACTCTTAAAATTTAGACTAAAAATATTGAAGCTAAGATGGTTTACAACTTCTAAATTTCCTGTATTGCAATAACTTGAATTTCAGAACTCTTAGAAAAACCCTTTAGCCATTCAAAGAGAAAGGGCAAGTGGAGTGACCAAGGAAATGCAAACACAGCAAATATGAGAGTTCTATATGTGAATGATATTCAATAGACCTCATTAGATGGAGCGGGGAAAATGAGGAAAGAGGAGGGAACTATCTTAATCGGTTCCCTCCCATCATCCCATGTGTTCTGGGATGGCCAGCCATTCCATGTGTTTACCCTGTCTTTCCCTGTCTTTCCACTACTTTCTCCTGCCTTCTGATGCTTGGAGTCAGGTAGTACCCAACTCCAAAAATGGCTGCTAGGCTCCATTTCCATGCATTGTGGAAACAGAGTCCCACCGGAAGTTGCATTATGTCATGTGATGGCCTCTGTGGGACTCCCATGGGACTCCGTTTCCACAGTGCATGGAAACAGAGCCTAGCAGCCGTTGGATCAGGTCCAATGTGTCTCTGGAATGCTAAAAAATTGGGACTGAAGGTAAAGTTCATTTTGGAGGACAACATTCTTATAAACTCATTTTGTCCCATCCATGATTGCACTCCTGAAATCTGGGCAGTCTTGTGTTGAATGCTCTTTGTTTCTTCCTTTCCTTGTTTTTTTTTTATTAAAAAAAACTTGTTTCCTATCCTTCTCTTCCTCCCACTAAGTGCAGTAAGTCTGCCATCTGCCCCAATCCTGAACCAGGCACAGGTTTTCTTTTCTTTCCCATGCAAGGGCCCATCCCAGTGACAGTGCCTACTTTTTGCATTATTTCTATATGGCAGCAATACTTATGCTTTCATCAGCACTTAGTGTAAAGCCTTCAGGTAGTTGGTGCTGTGAGCAGAGGAGAGAAGAGAGGTTGCATAAGCTCAATATGGGCTAGTTGAGCCCATGCAAGGACATGGACGTTACCACCCTTTCTGACATTATAGCATTCCCATATCAAGAAGCAAGGATATATATTGCAAACCCTCCAACAGTCCCAATTTGGCCGGAAAACTCTTGCTTAATGATCTGTCATCCTATTGCCACTGAACCAGCACACAGAAAGACCATTATCAATGGTAGGAAATCACTCAACACCTTTTATTAGATCTTCTGTAGAAAAGGGCCAACTGTGAGGTCACCCTTGCAAGTCCAGTTAGTCAAAGCTTGCAAGCATGAACAGATCTTTATAGTATTAAGTTTCTCCTTTATTAATATAAAAAAGAAGGAGGACTTTGCTCTGCAAGACTCTGCAAGGCTCAGGACCTTTTCACACGGGGCATGTTTTTAATTGCGGCAAGGATGAAGTCTGCTATGCACCATCACATGACACAAAGCAGGTCCTGCCCACATTTCTCCCAAAGTGGAGGGGAAGCACCGAAAGGCGCTTTCACCTCCACTACAGGGAGGAAAGTGTTGTTTGCATAGTTCCGACGGACCTACTTGCACTTTTCTCCCCTTTTTGCCGTGCGATGGCATAAAGGGCAGCGGAGCAACTGGCATGGGCCCCATCAGATGGCAGAAAGAGCAACAGTGTGTGTTGGCCTGCAGCTCTTTCTGCCCTTTCCCATCCCCACCTTGTGATGAGAGGAGGAGGTGCAACGGCATGGCCTGAAAGAGACATGTGAAGACTTGTATGGCTGCATCTACACTGTAAAATTAATGCAGCCTGACACCACTTTAACTTCAATGTATGAACTCTTGGGATTTGCAGTTGGATGAGGCATCAGAAGTCTTTGGCAAAGAAGTCTAAAGACCTTGTTAAACTACACCTCCCATTATTCCATAGCTTTGAGCCATGATAGTTGAAGTGGTGTGAAACTGCATTAATCACACCATGTAGATGCACCCTATGTCTCTCAGAACCTCAGAACTCCTATAGCTATGGCAGGTTAACCTGGAGATTCTAGATGTTGTAATAATTCTTTTTCTTCCAGGGTACGACTTTCTGTCAGGTTGTTTTAGTAAGTGATTTAATTTGATCCTGATACAGAGGTCACCTAGAACCTGACTGAAACTGTGATCGCTGGCTGCTCCTATCCTGATTAAACAGGTAAAGCTCATTGCAATTAACATGGAAGCTCAAACAGGCAGTCCCCAGAGTATCCCAAGGAAGAGGAGATCAGAAGCTGGCAAGAGACAAATAGTATTGACAGAAGTAAACAGCCGGGCTTCAGGAGTGGTCTTCTCTGACTGCAAAGTACCAAAGTCAAAAACTTTCCTTCAGAAAACAAATCACTCTGCGGCTAATCAGCATAATCTGTAATTAAATGCATAAGACTGTAATCAAGTGGGATTACTTGGTTTGGTGGACCAGCCCAAGCCTATTATCAACCTGCTGCACAGCCAGAATGTATGTGCCGTCAAAAAAAGGAACGGTCCGTTCTTTCCTTCAGCGCCGTGTTCTCACAGATCTGGTGGTTGACTTTGCTTTTGCTGCAGTGAGAAAAGGGGAATCACGCCAAAAGCATGGCAACTTTTCCATTCCTGGGCAGCCGGCAAAGTAGTAGAGTTACCCAAATGTTTCCTGACTTGCCTTTTCTTTCTCTTTTGCTTTTGTTGCAGATGGAAAATGTCTCCAGTTCCACAGCGTTCCTGTCCTCCTTATCCGAAGGAGAAGACCTGATTTTTGGAAGTCTCTATATACTCTTTGGTAAGGATGTGCATGTCTGTGAATGAGAAGCAGACCTTGGCATTTGCTTAAACAAGCATTATTTTCTTTTTGCTTGAAAGTACTTTGCTCTTTGGCTTCAGGGTAAAGTCACCAGACTCTTGTGTCAGGGAAATGCTACCAGACATAGGATCCCCGAATTTGAAGCCACTTCCTGAGCCGGAGTTTATTCTTACTTCTTTTAAAATATGTTTATCCTGATGGTATCTTGCTGTTGTGTGCATGTCCTATTTATAGGTTTCTAATCAGTGTCTAGATGCCCACAGTGAGAACAAAGTGCTGGATTATATAGGATTTTGGCCTGACCCAGCTCGGCTCTTTGCAGTTTCTTAATCATTAATAAGGCAAAGGATGTGCTGAGAAACCAGAGCTTGGAAAGTTACTTTTGAAAAGCAATGTGCTGTGTAGTTCATTATAACCCTTTTATTCCATTGATTGTCACCCTTGTTACTTTTTAAATTCTTTTTTTTAAAAAAAAAATCCAACTAAAAATAGTTAATCCTCCACATTCACAGATTTTGTATCCACTATGGTTTGATTTTTTTTTTAATAAAAACCAAATCAAACCTTGATTTTGCAATTATATATAAGGGATAGTATTTTACAACACCACTATATATGGTGGGACTTGAGCATCCATAGATTATGGTATCCAGGGAGAGCCTTGGAACCAAATCCTAGCAGATATCAAAAGCCATCTATAGTAATAAAGCAGACTAATGTTTTAAAGAGAAATGCCCCTAGAAAAGCTTTATTTATTTTGCCCATCTCCATGAATATCAAGAAAAATAATTTATTTACTAAATTTAACATCAAAAAGCACCATCAGTTGTGACATCATTGGCAAAAGTAATGGCCTTATGCTGTCAGTATCCAAATACCGTATTTACTCATATCTAGTGCGCTATCGAATCTAATGAGCACCTCAGTTTTCAAGACCCTGAAACCAAAAAAAGAATTTGCTAGCAAATATAATGTGCAGCAGAAACAGAATGGAAAGAATGTACAAGAAGGAAGGGAAGGAAGGTGCCTTGAAAGAATAGGTAGAGAGAGGGACAGAAAATAGAAAGGAAGTTACAAGAAAGAAGGGGAGGAAGGTGTATGAAAGGAAAGGCAGCAAAAGGGAAAGAGAATAGAAAGAAGGTACAAGACAGAACGGGAGAAAGGGGCCTTAATAATAATAAATAATAATACTTTATTTATATTCCACCCTTCTCACCCTGAAGGGGACTCAGAGCAGATCACAGTACATATACACCGCAAACATTCAATGCCGCTTTGCATACACAATACACAGACAGACAGAACCAAAGGAGGTGGTTTGTTTCAACTCAGTGTCCAGTTGTTTTTGGTGCCATGAAATGTTGGGTTCGAGTCCAGGGGGTGCTGTTGCTCTATCCTCTATCAAGAGCCATCAGGACTTCCTCCTTCCTTTTGGTCACACAGCATTTTCTTATCTTCTTTCTTTATGGCATTGTAAAACACACGCACATACACACTTTTAGCAGTACCTAATTTCTCTAATTACAGCTAAAGCTTTTTTCGAATTGCTTAGGTAAACAATGAGCTAGGCTGACAGTCAGCAGCTCACGTCGAACCGGGGCTTCGAACTTGCAACCTTTCGGTTGATAGATCTTATAATTGCTCGTGATTTACCAGCTGTGCTGGTAAACCTCTGACCCTTGAAAGCAAAGACAGAGAGAGAGAGAGAGAGAGAGAATAGAAAGAAGGTACAAGAAAGAAAAAGCAGAGAGAAGGAAGAGTGGATGGGAGAGAGAAAGAAGGAGCTCTGCGGCAGCAGAGCCAAGGCTGTTTCTGCTGAGAGGGAGGCCGGGTGAGCCAGGGTGAAGGAGGCCCTTCAACGCTTCCTCCGCTTCCCCAATAATAATAATAATAATCTTTATTTATACCACACCATCATCTCCCCGATGGGGACTCAGAGCGGCTTACATTGGGTCAAGCCCGGACAATATATTACAGCAAAAATGAAACCAAAACATAAACAGCTAGCGAGGCAGCAGCCCTGGCAAGCTAAGGAGGAAATTGTGAAGGCAACCATGATGCCTTCGTCGGCTGTTTGCTGCAGGCTCGAGGAGCCAAGAATGCTGCTCCTTGCTGCTTTTGGAGCCACCTTGCCTCTTCCTCCTTGGCTCCTGGGGTTGCTCACCACTTGGCCTATTCACCCTTTACCAGCTGCTTCACCGGCTTGCCTTTCACTGCCGCCCCCCTTCACTGGCCACTTAGGTGGCTGGCCTCTTTGCCAGCTGTCTTCACCGGCTCACCCTTCACCAGGTGGTTCACTCCTTTGCTGACCACTTCGCTGGCTAGCCCCTTTGTTGGCTTACCCCTTTGCTGGCCGCTTTGTCAGTTCCCAAGGAATATTATGCAAATCTAATGCGCACCCCAATTTTGGCAGGGCTATTTCACCAAAAAAAAAGATGTGCATTAGAACCATGTAAATATGATAAGTAATGTGTTTTAGTACAATCATTGCAACATCTGCTAAGGCAGGAATGGGAATCATATTGTCTGCATGGGGTCTTGACTGAAACCATAAATAACATTTAAAAAATCTAAAAGTATTTTACGCTTGCCCAAAACATCATTTTCAGTTGCTGCAAACCCCATTGGTGTGGATGCTGAAGGTCAACGGATGCTGAAAATGACTATAGTTTCTGGCCCTATCTACACTGCCAAATAAAATCCAGATTACGGCATCTGCTTTGAACTGGATTATATGGCAATGTAGAGTTATATAATCCAGCTCAAATCAAATGATTTGATAATCTGGAGTATATCACAGTGTAGATCCAGCCTCTGATGCTAGGTACACAATCACCTTGGTCTAAGCTCCGATGATACAATGGCTCACCAGTGATGCTTGTTCCAATCTCTACTTTACCGTGATCCAAAGCATGTTATTGGGCACAGCAGTCATCAGTAAATTCAAAATGGCCCTCATAAAACATAAGGCTTGATTAAAAATGTACATGTTGACCGCCAGACTCAGCTGGAAATTCATCTGCTTCATCTTACAACAGTTGTCATTTCTGAATGGTCTTTAGTGGCCTCCCTGTGTGAATTTGTTGATGGGTTTAGATATATCCCTCTGCCTGGTATGCTCCAGTGTTCTTACACAAGGGAGAAGATCATTAAATTCCTGCTGTGTGAGCTAGTTAGCCATGGCTTTGAGGATATAAAGACATGCCTGAGAGGTGAATGTGAGCCAAATGAAGATGAGATGAGTCCCGGAAGGGGTTGCTCTTTCATAGCCACCCACTTACATCAACATAAAAGCCAGAACAGTGGAAATTACTTTTAAGAAGAATTGCTATTATGACTAAACTGTTGCTGTACAAATTACCGTATTGTTAAAAGTTTAATTAAATTTTAATGTTGACCATTTCTATATTTTACCTATATTGTAGTCATTTTAGTTTGTAAACTGCTTTGATTCCTACTCTTAGGGGAAGGTGAGATATGTATAGATACATACATTGTATTTATTTAAAGCATGTGTGTTTTTCCTCCCACCACATAAAGGATCCTGAGGCAATATAATGAAATTTTAATGACAATACATTATAATATAATGTAATGCAAACAACATAATATAACACTCTTTGCCAATATTTTATATTGATGACTTAGTTATGTATGCACAATTAAAAGAAGGATCTCAAAAAGCTAAACATATGGGTGATTAAATTCCAGGTGCAGCCAGAGAGCATCAGTATGTTACATTTTGAGTCTCTATGCTGTTGCCTTAGTTCAAAAGAAGATAAGCATCTATCCTTGACAGGAGAGAATGGTTGATCCAAAGTACTGGATCCATATGAAAAGTCAGACAGATAAGTGGTCCAATTTTGTTTTGTCCCTGCCGTGCCAGTCTTTGTACTGTGCTGTTGAAGGCTTTCATGGCTGGAATCATTAGGTTGCTGTGAGTTTTCCAGGCTGTATGGTCATGTTCCAGAAGCATTCCCTCCTGACATTTTGACCACATCTATGGCAGGCATTCTCAGAGGCTGAGGGATCTGTTGAAAGTTTCCAAAAGATCCTTCAACTTCTGAAGATGCCTGCCATAGCTGTGCGTGAAATGTTAGGAAAGAATGCTTCTGGAACATGCCATACCGCCCGGAAAACTCACAGCAACCCAATCTTTGCACTCATTTATTGACTTGGCTTCTAAATTTATTGACTGGGTTTCCAAATTCAAAAACATTTCACAGTATAACTGCATTCCACTTTGTGTGTAGTTTCTTTTGTCAGGGGCTATTGTATTTGGATGCATATTGAAAAAATGCAGCCTTTGTGGTTCTGTAGTCTTTTTGCTGCCAAAGGCCATAAGTCAACTGTTCTGATCCTCCAAGGCCATCCATAGAAAAGAGTGGGCTGCCTACATCCAATCTAGGATGTCCCAACAAATCTAGTCCAGATCAAGAAGTGGATTTGCTCCAAGAATGAGGCTATCAGTTTAGTACATTTGAATTAACTTGCATTACACTTTGTCTTTAAAATATCAACCAAATTCTTCCACTCTGAATAGTCTTGTCTGGTTTAGAAAGCCAAGTAGAGTCAGGCCTGTTAGTTTTTAGTTGAAAGACCCACAAGTGAACCCTTCGCTAGATAGGTTTAAAGAAAGAATCTTGCCAGAAACCCTGGAGAGGAATGCTCCCATCTCACTCAAAAATAAAAAAACAAACAGACAAAGCAGGGATGGGCATGTTTTGGAAACAATGGATTGTACAACATCATGTTGTCTTTCAGCATCCATGGTCACCATTTGGGGTGAATGGAATTGATGTTGCCTTACTCTTGGTTGCCTTCAGGACCTTTCGGTGGTGGGAAGTTAGACTTCAAAGTTGAGGCTTCCAAAACAACATTCCAAGGCATAACTTTCTTTCAAAAATGAGCAGATGTCTGAAATTTGGAGGGGGACACCTCATCAGATTCTACACACAATTCTGTCAGCTGGTTTTAGC